ATATCATATTGTTCATTTCAATTGATATCCTATTTTCCTGACTACGTTGTAACTCATAGGATTACTGATTTTGTGCCATGATATACTATCGCATCATGAATAAATTATGCGATTCGAATTTGTTCAGATCCTTTCTTACTCACCCTTCACAATCAGTGCTTGTGTTAATTCAACGATTCGTTCAATGTAAACGAAATGCTCTTCGATTACTTTCATCGATTCCTTTTCATCTTTCATCATCACCAAATAAAACTTTTTGGTACGTTGTTCGAAAAGAAACACCAATATGAGATCGCTGTTGTCAATGCCAATGATTCCCAACCATTTGATTGCACCTGAGATATTCTGAAACTTTCGTTTCCAGTCAAGCAATATTTTTGTTATCGATATTCTTCATTCGTCCAAATTTAGTAGCATGAAGGGAATAACTTTAGAATTCTGAATAAATTCCTGAAATGTTTTCTAATAACGGCACACAGCATTGTGGGAAGATGCAAAGAATTAAGAAAAATAACTTCCAGAGAATATGGCGAAAACTGAGAAAGCTCATGCTAAGCACATGAATATTAGTCGTATATGTATAGTTATTCGTTAAAAAGCCTTCACTGGATAAGAGGAAATGAATTTTTCGTGAATATGAGTCGAATCAAATAATCTTATGGCTGAATTTACCAACTGTTTGCTGCAAGCTTCAATGGATTCGTTTCCTTAGCGTGAAATATGGATGCGGTGTATTTGAATACTTCACAGAAGAATGAAAATTCGGTCAGTGAAACAAACTTGCAGTTGTTGTGAGGAGAAAGGTATATGCCGGAATTGATTTGAATTAATATCATCACTGATAACAAATTCGGATTTTCGCATATCGAAAACATAACTTTTCGCTACTCCATTATCCGATTGACTCACTGCGAACTGCCATGTCCCATTAACACCATTCCTCATTCGCGAACACATTTTTTTCACAGAAAAAAAAGACACTAAAATCAGAAATCGTTTCTTTAGATAACATTTCACTGGAAGCCTTCTTCACCAGTCGTTACGCATCATTCCACTCGTAAGCATTTGATACAACACATATCAAGACACATCTTTCTGATATTTTGATCGCTTTTCGGTAGCGTCGTAAACAAATCACGAGAAGTTTAAATTAAATTCACTTCGATATTCAATCATACAATTACATTTTCGTCAGTAACTTCCATCGGTAGCAAAGAAAACTTTCATTCGAAATTGAATTTTCTTCTGAAAATACCGATGCGCGATTGAGAACATTTCACTGATTGTGAGTTTGTTTACTTTGTTCATTTATAAGAAGTTATTCGATATCTTTGAAATAATGATCATCGTTGATCAATTCTACTGATAACTTCTAAGAAAGCGTCGTATTTCTGTTGTAGCGTAAGCTTCACAAGCATAAATGAACATAACTGATATAACAAATGAAGGACTCCAAAAACAAGAAAGGATATTGGGATGCATGAACTAATTCAGAGAAACGGAATGAAAGTTGATCACATCGAACAATTCTTAAGGTTTAACAGCCACGATTTCTTTAACACCTGGCAACTTCACCTGTTTGGAATGAATGTGCATCATTGAGTGACGCAGTCAATGAACACTGATAAGTATTATTATCAGTGATAAGAGATTGAAGAGATGCTTTTGGACGACACAAAGAGAGAAATTGACGTCAATTTAAGATATGTTCCGTGCATCAACAATGCTAAAAAACGAATAGGTATGTAAAAATCGATGTTTTATATAGGTAACAGATTGTTTATTTAGGGAAAATAAAACAAAGTTAAATAGTTGTTAAAGAATCTGGTTTTTATAAAGTGAAGACGAGAAAATTAAGGGGGATTCGTAGAGAACGTATTGTGGATGAGTCTGAGGAAAAGTCACAAACGAACCGTTTAAAAGGATAAATGAGGATTTCAAAAAAAAAAACCAAAAGGAATCAAATTCAATGGTGACGAATAATCGAATAAAGGAGAGGAATTCGTGTTTATCTAGGATCTCTGCTTTGAACTGGAATTCTCGAAACGTCGGAATTTTACATCAAACGGAATTTCGTTTTATTACTTCCTTTTCACTCGCACTAACACAATCCGCATTGATTTTTTGTTTAACAATATTTATGGTACTATCATTTCATGATAAATAAAAATCAAAAAGTATCTAACTTCAAGACCAACGTATTTTTTCGAGATAATGAAAAAAACACTGATTGTAAGTGACTAAAAGAGATGAAAACTTAGCCAAGGATCCCAACGGTTTTCAATGAATGCTACTGCAAAAACTGCGTGGACAATGGACGGTAGGTAGTGTGCGGTATTGAGGACGATGCAAAATTGTTGTTGAAAATGGAGTTAATAATGAAAATTCTTCAATGTGATTTGCGAAATCGTCACTGAATTGCGATCATTTTCAGCAAGGACATTGTTGAAAGGAATTGTTTGGTTGCTTGCTCGTTGGAGAGTTATACTGTTTGATATTA